GGGGGGCGAGGTAGAGGGTGAATTTGTTTATCTTCTTAGTTGTTGCTGGGTTTTTTGTGGGGTTTTCCTTTTGGTTCTAGTTGGGGGCAGTGGTTGTTTTTGTTTTTCAAGGTTTGTTTTGGGTTTTTATTTTAATGTCTCTGTTTTTAACTATAATTAAACAAAACCTTAAAAATTAACAATTCCTGCGTGTATTTCAGGTGAAGTTCCTGCAGGAACGTCTGGAAGAAAAAGAGAGGAGCCAGGAGTCACGTGATCTCCCCGAGTCCTTGACCCCTAGCGCGTTCTACGAGGACAAGCTGCGGGAGGTGAACCAAGAGGTGGATGACCTCAGGTGGAAGCTCATCGAGAAGGACCGGGAGCTGGAGAGGCTGCAGGTCGTACAGGTGAGACTTTGTCCTGGTCGGGTGCTGATCTGGGATACCTGTAGGTGTCATCTCTGACTCAGAGGTTGACGTGTAATGACTCTCCATCTTTCACGATCGCGAGCTGCCGTTACACATTCTGCCATATCCACGCCAGTCCATGTTTTTATGCTGTCCATCTATGTTATTTTTTGCATTTTTCTGGCTCTCCAGTCCCACATCTTTCCTTCAAGCACCTCTTCCACAATGGTCTTGTGTCGTTTTAAGTGGCCTTGGTATTGTATTTTTCAACGTTTTTTTTTTGTTCAGCAGGGTTTGTTTTGTGGTCTTTTTTGTTTTCCAACTTATTCTGGTCATTCTACGGTAGCATCACATCTCAAACGCGTGTATTTTGTCGTGCTGATGTCGGTAAAGGTCTTGGACCAAAATAACGTATCTATCATAAACGCCACATACTATTAGCACAGGGCCGAAACCTGCACCTCCCCTCGAAATCCTAAGTATACCAGAGGAAGGAAAAAGGAAAAAATAAAAGCAAGATGTCCTGATTCTCCCCAGTGGCGTCGGTGGCAAAGTGGTTATGCTACCAGACCCGTAATCGTGAGTTTACGGTTCCTAGGGTTCGAGCCTAAGCTCGGTCCGACGTTGTGTCCTTGGGAAAGGCCCTTTACACTTATTTCCCGTTTGGCTCAGTGCTTTCTTAAAAAACCTAACAGTGTTGATAGGGGCGTTAAACCTATATCATTTCACCTCTATTTTTCCTTCCAAAAAATGAAAGGCAAAAGAGGTAGAAATTGTAGGTTTTGTCTTATGCTTCTCAAATGTTTGATGCAAAGAAAAAGGTATGTATAGAGAACATGATGTCTGTATTGACACACAGATTTTAACCCCTCCCCCTTCCCTAAAGCCAGGAGACAAACAAACAACGAACACAAAAACCATCCAACATACATAAAAAACAAGAAAGACGAAAAAGGAAACGTGTGTACACAATATAAATAAATAAAACTCATATTGAAACACATGTCGTATCCTCGCAAAAAAAAGTTAAGATGCCTTTTATCATATTATAACAAATTTGAAATGGATAAATATAAAGAAGAAAATGTCACTACTGTCCGCAAATGTAAAATAGATAAAGAAAAAGAAAAAGCACCTGTCAATAAATTTAAAATAGAAACAGGTCTATTAGAAGAAGAAAAAACACCTAGCTGTGCATAATTTTTAAGTAGAAGAAAAGAGAGGGAAAAAAAAGACCTGTCCATATAAAATAGACAAATAAAAAGAGGAAATTGTAACACCTGTCCATAAATTTAAAATAGATGAATAAGAAGAGAGAAAAAAAAACACCTCTCCATAAATAAGATAAATAAATGCAGGGGAAAAACCACCTATCCACATATTTTAGATAGGTGAAAAAATACAGGAATAAAAACTCTTCTCTACAAATTTAAAATAAATTAAATTAAATTAAAAGAGAGAAAAAACCACCTGTCCATAAATATAAAATAGATAAATACATACAGGGAAAAAACCACCTGTCCACAAATTTTGGACAGATTAATAAATACAGGAATAAAAACTCATATCCGCAAATTTTAGATAGATTAAATAAAATAAAAAGAGAGGTGAAAAAACCCACCCGTCACCCCCCTCCAACCCCCTAACCTCCGCCCACTTTGTCCCCTGACAGACTCGCCACACTAGAGAACACGGCCATTCCAAGAAGACGGACAAGCTGAAGAAGTCCAAGTCCCTGGACACAGAGGCTGACCCCGTCACCTCTGACCTCAAACGTCAGCTGGAGCTGTCGCAGCAGGACGTCATACAGCTGAGGGTCCGGATGGAGGAGGCGGAGGAGCAGAGCAAGCGATTGGCTGAGGAGAACGAAGGTACAGCTTCTCTCTGTCTATCTGTCTGCTGTCTGTTTGTCTGTCTGTTGTTTTTTCTGTCTGTCAGTCTGTCTCTGTGTGTTGGTCTATCTGTCTGTCTATCTGTGTGTCTGTCTCTTTATCTATCCGTCTGTCTGAGTGTGTCTGTCTATCTATATAGATATCTCATGTCAGTCTGCCTCTCTCTCTCTCTCTCTCTCTCTCTCTCTCTCTCTC